GACGGGTGAAACCCCAGTCCCTGCTCTAGCCCTGGCCCTGGTCCCAGGCTTTGCAGACCGGGGTGGTGCTGGGTGCTCCTGTAGCTTCACTTTCTGCAAAGACCAGGGAACAAAATAACTAAATGTTCAGCACTTATTTTATTCAGAAACCTCAGAAGAAAACCAGCAACAAAAGCTGTTGTACTGTTCTAAACATTTGACAATTTGCTGCATTTTTCTTTTTAAGGATGCATCACTTCACTGCTTCTGTTTCACTCGGCAAGTGTAAAACGCTACCAGCGACCAGCCCCTGGGCACTGCCAAACACCGCAGCTGCAGGAGAGCTCCATGACCTGCTCCCAATTCTGCTCTCTTTTATGAGCACTGCCTGCCTTGCCACGGTAACTTCCAGCCTGCATTAGAGTTCTTAGTAGAGACAAAGTTTATTGCAGAATGTATCTAAAGCTATCAATGGTATAGAGACACCTTTTTTTTCTTAATTTGCTTTTTAGAGATGTGGACAAACAGAAATTTTGTTTTCCACAGCTTAAACCTCACCGTTGAAAGAGCTGTAATGTTTATGATGATAAACGATGCATAGATGATGATTAAAGTTCTCCTGAGAGGAAGTGTAAGCTTCTGGTTCTCTGGAAGTCCTTAATTGTCCCCCAAATATGGAACAAGGCAATTTGCTCATGTTAAGGCGAAGAATTTTAAAAGGGATTAGAAATATAAAAGGAGAGTGCCCAGCGAAGTGCACAGCCAGTGCTGTCACGCTTTCCCCACTGAACACACACTTTGCGTGCCCTGCTTTTGGATGCTTCAGGTCTGATTTTGGGCAGCGTTCAGACCTCCCACTGCCTTCATCCAGAACTGCAGATCCTGCCCCGCACTGCACGGGGCACCCCAGGCAGGCACTGATTGAAAAGGGGGGCCTAGGCGTTTACCCAGAGCAACGTTTCCTTGTTATAATGGAACAGAAATAGCCTGAAGAGCTCCAACAGATGGAGGAGGACTTTGATTAAAAAATAAATTCTGACTCACAATTCAGATTGCTGGATGCAGTAATAAAAAAGAGAGTACATGAATATGAATAGCAGTGGAAAGAATCGAGTGGAGATAAAGGGAGGTCTGAGAAAAGGCAGTGAAATAGCAGAACCAATTTACCTACTTGTTTCTAATGCCCCTCAGGAAAATTCAGTCTGTTGTTGCTGTAGTGCTGATGAAAGCAAGCAAGACCACTGGTAGACTCCAGAAACTCTCCTGTGATGGCTTCCTCGGAAAAATCCTGCTGGCTGGATTTTAAATACCTGTTAATAACTTAAAATGGTAGGGAAACATCTTCAGCTAAAGAGGAATGCTGCACAGGAAAGTCAGGATTTTCTTCCTCCCTCAGCCCCTTGTAGGTAAAAAGAACAAGAATATGGCACACCACCATCGTACGTCTGTTCATGGAGCCTGGAAGTGGATTTGAGCGAGTTGGCTCTACGCATCCAGGCCCAATATCTACATTTTAGAGTAAGGGGGAAAACGAGTCACCAACACCCTTGACTGCTCCCCAGCTCTGATTTGTATTCAAAGAACCCACAGGGCAGAAGTGGCTGCAGAAAATACCTTCTTTCATAAAGGCCGTGTGACGGGCAGGACAGCTCTTCACCAAATCTCTCAAAACACAGCACTCCAATTTCAGAATCAGCCCTTCACAAGCTTCCTTTGTGACAGCTATTCTGGCCTCATAATCACATCACTGGTGGCCAAACATCTTGAACAAGGACAGAAGTTGAAACACACAATATGATTAAAACCTACATTATCGCTGATGTAATAGCCCAGAACCTATTATTGTTCTTGGGCAGGAGGAAAGAATCTAATTAAACATTTATTTAATATCAAAATACAACCCAAAATACCAATGTTGGACAGTAATTCAGCAATACGCCAACTAGCAAATAGGTATTTGTCACCAAGAAAAATGCAGGTATGTTCACAGACACAGCTTGGATTTGATCTGGAAATGGATGTGCCCAGAACACTGGCGTGGCAGGAAACCCAGCCTGGCACACGAAAGCAGTAACTGGGATTCAGTAGTGACAGTCTTGACGTGGTTGGGGGGACGTGGAGCTGCCCTGGGGCCAGGGGGGATGTGGAGCTGCCCCAGGGGCTGAGGGGGACGTGGGACAGCCGCTGTGCCCCAAGTACCCGGCGGTACCAAACCGCAGAGCGGCCGCAGGCACCCAGCCACGCTGGCAGTGCTGCTCCCAGCCCTGTCACAATGACAAATATCCACAGCATCAGGTTCAGAGTAAAAGGAGTCACCATATGACAGGAGTTATCTTTAACACAAGTAATGCATGTTGGCTTTTGTATAAAGTTCAAAATTTCCTATTGGCTAATATTTACATCATACCATAAATATTTATAAAATGGTGAGGAAAATGAAGTGCAAAAGGATAACAGTATCATTTTCTGAAAACAAGCTGCCTTTTAGTTTCTTCTTCTTATTATAAATTGAATATCACTATTTAAAAATAAGTAATATTTTTAGAAATATTACAGGATAAACATCGATTTCTCAAGTGTAACAAAAATATGTTTAAAATATAGGTGGCTGTTTGAAGTACAAAATATTGCTGTTTGTAAAGGGTAACATCGTTGTAAAACTCCTACTGAGGGTTTACAAAAATACAAACCAATTTGCATTCACTGAGTGCATATTACATATTAATGCAGGAAAAAAAAAGCGTATTTGCATTCAAGAGAGAATTGTCAAAGATTTGCAGAGGTACGTAAAACATGAAATCTTTTCAGAGTCATGCGTATTGACCCCAAATCTCTATTAATCCTTTCCAAGCGATCTTCCAGGGCTTCCTAAAAGAAACAAAAGAAAACAAAGAAAAACAAGATTTAATAACGTACCTGAAAAATCCAATGACCCTTCTAAAATGAACTCCTATTATTCCTATATTCAACTGGTATCCTTTTGGATGCATTGCTACAATTCTGTTAGCATCCAAAAACGAGAGCCAAACCTACAAACTTTTCATATTATTCTTATGTATGTGTGTGTATTTATTGGTTTTTAAAATCCTGTTTCAGGTGTTCTGTTTTCTTTCCATGGGATGTCTGGAACTGCACAAGATCAACCTGACAGGAATTAGGATGGGCTGATCATTAGGGAGGGACATTTGGGAACCAGTGACCACTGCAGCGAGTGCCAGTATGGATTTACTGGAATGCACTTTTATCTCCAAATTGGTAACGAGCCCTGCAATTTAGGAAATCCAAACCTTCATAGAGCCCTCTGAAACAACTCTGAGACGCTTGTTTTTATTAGAAGAATCTGCAGAGCTCTCCCAGGAAGGCACTGTCCTGTATTCTACCTAAACTGGGTATTTTTGCCTTCTTATTTCCTTCTTTGTACTTGCAAGCAGACAAAACCCAAACAAACAAACCATAAGCTTTGCCCTCTCCTCTGCAGCACAACATCCCCTCTACAGCTGCAGGGGTTTATTCACTGTCACTGCATTTTCTGAGTGGATTGCCTTCACCTGCCTCGCAGTGTTTTCCCAAGAACAGGCTGTTCTTCTGGTAAGTTGGAAAAATGCATCCCATGTACGAAAACCAGAAGACATAAACAGTCTTATGCAGAACATAAACTGTGCAGTATGTATACATACATACACACAAAAAAATCGGTTTGTGGTGGAGGAAACAGAAATCAAATGTTTGCAGGGCTAATTCTTCTCTGAATGACTTGCATACAAATTATCCAGACTTTCACCTTTTACCTAGCAAGCCAGAGTGTGTTTATAATTAACTTGCAATTAACTGTCTGATTATCTTCTAATGCATAAAGCCTAGAGAAGACAGGCACAAAATTCAGCTGTATTCAGAAACGATTCTCAGTGGTATGGAAAAAAAATCCTATAGTGATTGTACTATGTAATAAATAACAGAAGTTTCAGCTAAACTACGTATTCTCAAATTGTGGAAGAGCAACTTAAGAGAACAGTCCTATACAAAAACTTCTTCACCTGATTTAATCTCGCTTGCAAGGTCATCCTTCCACCAGAACAAGGTATTCGACTCAACGCAGCCTCAATCTAGGAACAGAAAATACTGCAGCTGTAAATTATCATTTCAAGAGCCAATATAAACCTTCCCAATTCATCTTACAGAAGAGGTGAGGTGCATAGGATTACAGATACACATCCAGTCATGTCCTTAAACACTAACTTGTGTTACCATGAACTGACACAAGACTTCACGTTCATAGGCAGAGCCTCTCCAGGATGGTTTTGCAGAGCATCCTTCCTTGCCAGAACAACCTGTCCCATGTGAAAGGCTGATTTTATTAAAGACTATCCATTAAGGAAGAAAGTAAATTCACTCCCACACTTCCATCCACGCTGGGTTTGTGCTAGAGTGCCTCTCCTTTAATGAAGTCAGGGACAGAAACAACTGGAGCATGAGAATTGGAGCAGGGACTGAAAAAGGCACATTCCTAGGGTAACACTGGAAGTTGTGCATTCATTTCGGCCATGCATTGCACAGGTATACAGCTACATCCCTCCTCTCGTACAACAATTCTGTTTCGGCACAACTTGAAAATAAGAACAGTCTTTGCCTGTTGCTTTTCCTGAGTCAGCTCATCAAAAAGCCTCTCTGTTTCAGCCAGAGTCGTGATCCTTGCTGCGTACTTGAAGTCTCCCTCACACGGCAACAGCGCTGGCTCGTATTTCGGTGCTGCGCTCCTCTCGTCCCAAGCTGCTGCTTTCTTCATTCCAGTATTGACGGATTCGCCACAGGAGCTGTGTCTGACACCCGAATGCTGCCTTCCTATCAACAAAAGAGGGGTCTTTTGATTTGCTTTGCAATTGTCTGAAATCATTACTAACAACAGGAAAAGCAACGATCTCAGAGGTGTGTGAGCTGAGGATGGTGACTAGCAAAGCCTCATGAGCTTGCCTTCAAACTTCCCAGAAGAAGGCAGAACGTTTGTATGGGTCATCTTTACGATCTTTGAAACACAGCATATTTTTTTGCTTAAACAGATTACTGTACTGTGCTAATTAGGAATTCTTTTTGCTGGTATTTAATTTCTAAATATCACAAAGTAGACCAGTTGTCATGAAAACACCACCCTAAAGAAATGCATTAATAAAAACCAAAAGAACATTGTGACAAGAGCTACAAAAGTGAGAGAAGATTTGGTTCAATCAATCATTTAGAAAATCCGAAGCAACTGGCTTTATTCTAGTTGCTCTTTGCTATCTGTAATGCAATGTTTAGCAATAGAATTTTATTAGTATGACTGAGGACGTACATCTTAATACAGACCCTACTGAGATATGCGTTGTATAACTGAGTTAAGCATAGGAAAACATATTGCCCTTCTTTCCCAATTTAATTATTTTTGTTGTTCCATTCTGTTTGTGCACACACACATATACATAAAAATAAAATACTGTATGAATGGTATTTGTCTACAGGAATAAGAGAAGAGTTAGAGGATTTTTAAGAGTTGGACTTCATAAAGTGTCAGCTTTTTATTTAAGCGGCTGTTACGAATGTGGAAATTGTGGTAAGAAATACAGAACGTTTTTTCTCCACTTTGACACATTACCTTCTGCATCATCCAGCGAGAGAAACTGCAGCCTTTTTCTTGGGTTACTGTGCTGTGAAACAGACGCAGGACCAGTTTCCAGGTCATCTAGAAGTATATCAAACCTACAGAGCAGGAAGCACACAACAGTTACTTGCTAGAAATCACTAATCAAGCAATACAGTGTTTTCTACTTTTTCACCTTGAGGTTAAACAATTTTTTTATAGAACAATTTCTATCCCACAGGCACTGCAACTGTTCTGATTACTGCTCACTGTACCAAACCCCAGTATACTCCTGTTTGCACACACCAGAATACCTCATTCACACAACTGAATTTCAGAACCAGGCTGAACTGTCACTCCCGCACACACAGAGCTCCCATGTTGAGGGTCCAAGGGTCAGAGGTCCCCAAGAACCACCAACTTGTGCCAGACATTTCTTCTTCCTCACGCACACGTCCTACACTTTAATCTCACAGCTCAGTATGTTCTCAAACTCTACAAGCCTTGCCAAGCAAAGATCTCTATAGAAACCACAGTATCTAGTAGGGTTTGCAGAAGGTTTATGTATTTTTTAAAATGCTTATAGGTGCTGTGACAGGTAGGCAGATACCACTCAACTTTTCTCTACATCTGGTAAGCAACACGTAGAGCTGGGCTTACTCCACAGAACCATTCTCCTGTAACCTCTCACCGATCAATGCTGTGTCAATCGTAAACCCTGCATCTCATCTTGGTGAACACTAAAAACGGGGAAATCCTTCTAGATTTTTCTTGCCAGATTTTAAAAACTAAACCTTGGTTTTATACTCAGAAATCTTCACATGACTGATTTTCAAGGACTTTTAGTGAGCGAGGAACAGCAGCATTCAGCCTGCATATAGGAATGATCAGAAGGCAGTTGTGTTCACAGCGCTCGTACCTTGTCACTGTGTTTTCGTTTTTGCTAAGCAAATGGCTAAATCCAGGGGAGAGGTTTTCTTTTGGAGACCGTTTGGGGCTGTACGTCACAGACACCGGCGCCAACATTATCTCTCTTCTTGCTGCAAAGGACAAAGCATGTTTAACTAGCTGAAACTTCTCTCAAAGCACGATCTCCCTCTTGTGTGATCAGATGCCTACATCTTTAAAAGAATGCTTTTCAAAGCTGTCTGCATGTTTATTTAGAGTAGATAAAGAGTGCATCGCAACATAGAAAAATGAAAATAAACTTAGAGCTCTCATGTTTTCTATGGTTATGGATAAGCTTTCCCCCCCCTCCCCCGATTGCTGGAAAAATGCAGAAATCCTGTCTTTATTTGTCTTTCTTGTAGAGCAGCCTTTCATTATCTGCTTCTACTCTGAGTACCACAAAGCGAACTTTAGCAAACCACTTACTTGGAGTGTTTGGTTTCCTGTTTGAGGGAGGAAGGGACGACGACCTCTGGCCAGAAGGGGAGCTGTACCGTTTTGGCCTGTGCTGGTCTTTACCTTTCTCTGGGGACCGGTTGGCAACTAAAGAAGTTTCAACAAACCCAACAGTCTGACGTCGATTTGATGTTTCTAATTAAATTGAAAAAGTTATTTGATTAATCAATCTTTTTCAACACAAATATTCGCCTGTACTCAACTTCTACTGTATAAAGACTGCACTTCATCTGTCTCGCATCAACATATTTGTGCTGTTTTGCTCAAGTCTCGCTTCCTGTTTAACGTATTCATGAAACACAGAGTTTAACTCAGGATAAAGGATGCTTTGCAGCACACGAGTAACATTGATTTAATGAAGACACAGGGGAAAGCAGGACAAAAGCATCTTTTGGGAAAGAGTGTTGGGTCCCTGCCTGAACCAAGAACATAAGCATTTAAGAAAGACTCCATGTTTTCTAATTGCAAGACTTCCTAAATCGATGTTGTTAGAACAGCTCAGCACAGTGCTAGGGTACACGTCAGCTCTCTTAATAACAAAACTAAAATGGATGTACAACCAGCCAGAGCTCTGTTAGAGCTCCATTAACTGTTTATAAATACTGAGATATTCTTAGAAAAAGCACATTAACTACTCCCTAGCTTGAGACCTAACAGCAGCCTTTGTATTCCCTCTATTTTAAACAAGCCATTTAGCTAGATAGCATTCTGAATTTTCTTAGGAAAACTCCAGAAGTTTGCATGCTGAAATTGTTTTCAACCCATCACTTAAGCCTGATGGACTCTAAGACTGAAAATAACAACATCAAAAGTCATGCAAACAAAGAAAAGCCAGCAAAGACAAGTTCAGGAATACAAAAATAAAACTTACTAGTTGATGTGTCATCTTTTTCTGTTTGTGTACCCCAATCTTTAAATGCTTTTCCTTCTTCAAGTTCTTTAAAGGCTTTTATAATTGGTGCTTCTGACATCTCATTTTCCTTCTTTTCTGTTGTGTTTGTTGAAGAGTCTTCTTGCGAGGAGTCTTTTTCAGGAGGAGAATGGTGCCTTAAAGAGTGTCAGGGGTGGAAAGAGAAAAGGATCAAGGTTTTTTTACTTTGTTTCATACATATATAGATATAGATAAGATTATAGATAAGATTATAGATAAATATATAAGATTATAGATAAGATTATATATAAGATTAAACAGATAAGATTATATATGTAATATAAGCTGAATAAAAACCCAAAACTTTAAGACATTTAGTTTGAGATTTACAGATGTCAAACCAAGAATTTGAAGGGTGCTTTTTAATTTCAGCTAAGAACCTCAGAGGATTTTGTTACGGCCAATTCAAGAGTCAAAAGTTGAACAGAGTGAGTTACATTTGGTGACCTGACATGTTCTTTGAACTAAATACGTCCTGACGGAGGCTTTAGTAACTTCTGAGTAAGGCAGCAAATACTGAATTACATGTGCAGCTTGGCACTGGTGTAAAGCTGCAGCGCACAGCACAGCAGAGCAGCGCACAGTACAACAGCACAGCAGAGCAGCACACGGTACAACAGCACAGCAGAGCAGCACAGCAGAGCCCCCTGCGCCCCGACTTGGAGCAGAGCTGGACACCAGCACGGAGCACAAACAGCAGCACAGACGCCCCTGGCACAGAGTGAAGCTCTCTGATACTTCAAGGAAGGGACTGAAGGCTGCTGCTGGCTTCATTCCAGGGCAGTGAGGGCTGAAAGTTGTTTTGGTTTTAAGGAATTTTATAGCTTCTACAACAGTGAGACATTTTTTTATAACTCTGTTTAACAAGTACAACATGTAGAAACATGAATCCAGTCAGTTCTGGATAAAGCCATTTTTAGAAGTGTTTGACTTCACATCGTGGTGGAGACTGAAAGAAGCCAACTCACCTAGAAGGAACACAGGTTTCCTCTAATCTGTTATCCTTGGGGCTTTCCTGCCCTTCCAAAGGCTGGCCAGTGAAAATGGAATATTCTGCTCCTGGTATCAACCACTTTCGCCTACTGACATCAGGAGTTGCCAACTTGCTGTGGGAACAAAAGACTCCAAAATGATGAAAGGCTTTGGAGGGCTTTTTGGTTTGTTGGGGTTTTTTTTAAATTTAAGGAAAAAAATTCCATCTATTTATCCTAGTTAAACAGAAACAGTAACAAATATACAACGAACTTGGAAATATCCTGGGAAAAATAGCTGCTTTTAAAATGTGTTTGTAAAGTAAACATAAAATATATATTAAAAAAAAAATCATCTGTTGAGGTTTCATTTTAAGTTACACAAAATGCTCAGAATGCAGAACTCCACAAAGATGTAATGCTGCTTACACAAACCAAGGTTTGGGTAACAAGTAGCTCTCAACTAATTCAACTAAAACATTTTGGTGTAGATTATTTCAACAGTTCGGAGCATCTGACCCCAGCTTTCCTTTTGACACCAGTTATTAGAAAAATAAAAAATAAGAAACCACAAACAAGTCACTGTTGATGGCCTGTGAGTGATAAATATGAACTAATAAGCACCAATATATTATCTTTCAAAAGAAAAATGTTGGTTTTATGCACAGAAAAGTAGATTATAATTAGGTTCTTGTTTATCCAAGCTATGAACCATCACGGCCATCCTGTAAATCTGTCCTGCTGTGCACTCCGTTGGAATGAGGCTTTCTGTAAGCCTTGAGATCAGGCAGGGACAGATTAACTCCCAAATCCACACTGGCTCTTACATCCTCCTCCCCGATCAACATGCTCTGCCATGCTCAGGTCATCCTTTCTGTTCACTGTTGAGGGATCTTATTCATTAATATTAAAATAGCCCTAAAAAGAAAACTGTCCCTGTAATACATAAATACATCAACTACTTGTATCTTCATGATAATAAACAATCAGATCCCCTCCAAAACACTGCTGTTCAATACATACAAATGGGCATCCACAAAACACGTTACACTGTCATTTTGTGCTTCACAGCATCAGTGCTGAACTGGGTGAGACGCCCAACAAGGCATTAAGAAGTAATAAAAACCCAAGGGGGACAAAGCTTTTCCAGTCTTTAAAACATTAAAAAACCCCCAAAGAAACAAACAAACAAAAACACCAAAACTGAACACAGGCCAACTTCACTTTCCTGAACGTAATTCACAATTCAGACTAACGCATGCATTCCAATTGAACTTCGGCTCCACTCTCAAGATACCTGGACAAACTGCATTGAGAAACACAAAACGTAGTAACCAGCCTCTCAAATCAAGGACACAAAGAAAACCTCTAATGTCTCATTGGACTATTAGATTTTATTCTCAAGATCTTTGACCTATTCAGCTGAGCAGCCGAGACCTAACAGACACATTTAGGAAGACTATAGCCAGTAGTCTTACACATGTATTATCCCAAGTATTTATTTGGTTTTTTTAAATCTCTTGACATGTGAAGTCTGTGAACTACATTGCACGTGTTTAATCCAGTCTAGCCTATGGACTGACTTCTTCTTTATCCCTTTTTAGCCAGAACATTACAAAGTTTTCTAAAACACATGACCTGTTTTCCCGTTGTTGCAATATTCACTTACCTGGCACAAGAAGTTCTTAAGCGACTTTCAGTAATATGGCGAAGTTTCAACATATTTTCATGTTCTACCTGCTTGAGCTGAGCTTCAAGTTTGGCAATTGTCCTAATGTGGAAGTAGCAAAGATGCATTGTGAGATGATTTACTGGACATGAAAGAGATCGTATTTCTTAGACTCTACTCATTTCTATTCAGATATCCTGGATGAAGCAGAAGAATGAGAGCAACTACTACATTTTGATCTATCTAAATATGTGTAAGTTAAAGAAGTCAGGTAACCCAGCTAGAAAGACAGCACCAGGAGATACTGCTGTGGATCAAAGCATTCAACTCAGAAGTTGAGGAAAACAACACAAGAACATTTTTATTCCTAGAAATTTAAACAAAGCCTCCCCGACTCTGGATGTAATGAGTGGCTCCTTCTCCTGTGTGTCCCTCGAGTAACCCACCAATCTGCTGCTCATCTGCACAGCATTTTCCTCTCTCACACACTGCAGTCCACACTTTCAGTGAACCAGCCTTTTGCAGTGCAACACACCACCATCTTGGGCATTCACCACTTGAAGAAGGGAAATACAGGGTTTGGAGGACAGAAAAATCTCCTTTTCCACTACAACTGGCTCCTGAGAGTGCAGGCGTGCACAGTGCACTGGCTGGGCTGAGGGACAGCCATCAGAGAGGGAGCACTTAATTACATCCCACTGGAAGACACGATTGAGGAAGCAGAAAAAACACACGACCTAAAATAACAAGCTTTTACAGTGCATACAAAGAAACAAAGCAACATGAAATGCTTCATAAACGTAATTAAACTTGCAAGATCTACAGCCTTCATAATCTAGCAGTGAGTGTTTAAGCCATGCTCTATACTTCATATTGTTAAAATAGTAACAAGTCTGTTTCACATTTACCTTTTCAAATCAGAAATCTGCGCGTTTGCATCAAGCAATTTGTTTTCAGTTGTATTTAATGTATCCTACAAGCACACAAGGAAAAAAGTAAAAAGCCTAGAAACTACAGCAGTGTGCTAAAAGAAAAACAAGTAACTTGACATCAGTCTTGAAAACAATACATTAAATACACATTCCTATCTGAAAGGAAGGTCTATTATATTTCTTTGACTCTGCAGTATTTTTGCTGTCTGTGACTGGAAAACAAATATTTCAAGCTCCCTCCTTTTCCCTCCAGGGCTCTGAAGATGCAGTAAGAAGCTATCAGTTAAAATAAATATGGCTCTTTCCATCCGATCTTTTTCAAAAGACTTACGTGAATTCTGTGAATTCTATGGCGCATTATCACATATTTTGCGTGTTTGGATTCTGTACTCACCTTTACCCTTTCATGTTCTTTTCCAAGGGACTCATATTCTCCTAAAAGCTAAAACAAAAACAAGAACACACAATCCCACACTGGTATTATATATAATTAACAGTTTTGTTGACTGCTGTAAAATAATAATCTAAATTGCTTGTCTAACATATGTATAAGCACTACAGGGGATAGAGTGTGTACTTTAATAGTATTTGTTAAGTTCTAATATCTTCTAACTGTAACAAAAAGTTATAGACAGGACAAGAGGAGACAGAGCTATTTACACGATGTATTTCCAATTTTCAAATTATTTCTCTCTAAAGAAAATGAAGGAGCTGGATGAACTGGTAAAATTCCTCACTGAGTGTAAAGCTGACAAAGTATTTTGAATTTTTAATTGTAAAAAAAGGAGTTAAAGCATGAAGTAGTTCTTCCTGCTAATACCCACTTTGCCAATCCATTTAAAGATTCCATAAAGCTATTCTTGAAGAATCAGGGGAACAATTCCTTTGATCCAGTCTCAAATCACACACAATAAACAGCTTTAGCAAGTTGGGATGACTTATGAAAAACTCAGTCCATCTCCACTAAGCTTGAGAGGGAAATGTAACTTTCTAAAATAATTTCCTGTAATACCCTTACAAATAAAATTAAGAGCATGTAGAATAATAAAGTATCTGAGACAGAGTACAAGTACTATCACATCAAGCACACACTGCCTTAAATAACTGGTTTTAAGTATCTATTAGGTCCATGGCATCACCTAGCACCACGCCTACCAAGGAGTCAGCTGAGTAATTTCTGTTCTCTTGGTTGTGCAGTGACACTTCACAACGGGAAACTTGGAGTAGTTTTCCAAAAGCCCCTCACTTGCTGTGCTGGTAACGCACGGTGCAACTGCAGTCACCACTGCCCACGTTATTACTTACATTCTGAAACATTTTATTTTCTTCCTTTAGCCTTGTGTTTTTATTATCAGATAACTTGTAAGCCTTTTCAAACGCTTCCTCTAGATCTTTAAGCCTCGATTTTAGTCGACTGATGGTGTTGTCCTTCTCTTTGTTAGTTGTGCGCATTTCTTCAAGACGCTCTTGCAGCACTTTGGAAGCATTACTGACAGCGTAGAAGCGCTCGCGCCAGTCTGCCTGCAGGAGGGAAAAACCCCAACTTTCATTACCGTGCGTACCTGGCAGGTTTTTAAAATTCCAGTACAAAGCATAATCTAAAATCATCTAAATAGAAAACAAGGGTATGTTTGTACATGAATTAGACAAGATTTTTGCCCATATCTGTGATGTACAAGGAATGAAAATGAAGACTAAAAACCCAAAAGAGGTCTTTATTTCAAAAGACTTAAAATATCTAGAGGTTAGGCCTCTAATCCCAGCTGATTGTCTTGTCTTGTTTCCCAGCAATAAAAAAAAGTCTAAAGAATGAATGACTCCATCTCTCCAGGTGTCCAACTTCCATGGCAGTGTCCTGTTCCTTGACCAATAAACACAGCTGTGTAGTCATAAGCAAAGCTGTCTGACCCAGCCAGACTGACTGTATAAATATACTTAGAAACAGAATATTTTTGCCTTAGCGCAGATGAGATTTGCTTTTATCACAGCTCAATAGAGAAAATAATTAAAACAAAATAATAATAAAAAATAAATCTAAAGAGACATCGCAAACACATTGCAATATTTCACTCTCAAACTGCCTGATCCCTGCTAATCTGGGAAGGTTGTTATTTAGCAAAAATGATGCTGATTCAAGTAGGGACTCTTACGCTGGGACAGTCACGGGTGTAACATTGGCTGATGTCGTACATTGGGGGGAAGGTTGAAAACAGAAAGATGTGCAAACAGGTCAGCGTAACAACGAACAAGTGCGCTCTCTTGCCCTTTCAGTTAAAAAGCAACTTGATTTAAGAACATATACTTACCACTTGCTTTTCTAGCATAGCATTCTTATTTTCAAGGGCTTTTATGCGAGCACTTGCTTCAGTCAGAGCCGCGTCTAAATGGTCGCACCTATTTAGAACAAACAGATGACAAAAATCTCTTGAAATTTTCAATAGTAAATCTACATTTTATAGCCTTCTTTCCTTCCTCAAGCATCCCCTCAGCTCATAGGAGCTGCAGAACCAAAAGCAGTGAGATGCACCAGCACAGAGCTCCACTTCAGCTAACCGATGGTGCTGTGTGATAATTAGTGACTGCAATCGTACCGCAAGCTACTTCAACTCGCGAAATGGCTGCTCTGAAATCACTTTTAATTGTTAGAGCACACCAGTGCTGGAAGGGAAGCACCAACTACCCACACAGTTTTTCAGTTATTCTGAAGGGATGCATTTTATAAAGCATTGTCGATGTCTAAATTACAATATGACTGGCAATAACGGTATAAAAATCACAAGCAACTTCTATATGTAGCAAACTTTCAAGCTCTATCTAATGGAATATATAGGCGAGGCAAACGGACTGCAATAGTAACATCTGGTCAAAGAGCACTGACCAGCAAATTGGCTCTGTAAAGGTAACAGTGAATTTGAGATTGGTCTTACAGCATCTGTAGCTTGACATGAAAGGTAAGGAGTGATGATGTTCATGATGGTGAGTGCTACCTTACGACACACACGCTTCCATTGCTAATTGCTCAGGACTACCTCAGCCTGACAGCTTATCTTGAGCAAAATTTGTATTTGCTTCAGGAAAAAATCAGGTCACACAAGACTTCTGGACCAAACATCACATTTGCCACCTAACAATTTTAAACTGATCTTAAACAGTTGCAGAATTTGTATTTAATAGGAAAATATTAGTATCACAGATGCCTCCAGCATTGAAGGGTGACATCAGCTTTACCAGACACTCTAAACAAGTATACTCAGTTTTTAAAGTGGAAACAATACCACATAACAGCGGAAGAGGACAAGTTCAGACAAACTGTACCTGTCAGCAAGATTCTGATTGATTTTCTTCAGATCTTCAGATGAAGCAGTTTTATGGCTTGCCTCCAGCTGCTGTTTTAAGCTGTGTATCTCAGAGTCATAGTAAGCTCGTAGATCAGCAATGTGTCGAGCATGCTTTTCCCTCAAGTTCTGCCTAATCCTATTTTCAAATTAAGAACAAAGAAATGTCCAGTTATGCACATGACCATGCATTGCTGTATTCATTCACATAATGAACTCAGCATCTAAACCTCTCTTACAGAAATTCATTGCGTTCATATTAAAGCTAAAGCTTCGTCATCTAAGGCAGTGCTGTAAGACACCTAGGACTTGCACAGAAGCCTTCCAAATAATACAAATAATATATACAAATACAATACAAAGCTTTGCTATCTCTCCTCTCCTTTGCTATGAACTGGAAACCACACATGTAAAATTAAAACAGGAAAACCGAAACACTGAACTATCTTGAAACCATGACCCCCACAAAAGCCCTCACACACGGAACATACGTCACGTCTGCTCGTCCATGTGCACATCATGAGAGCTTCAGTAGCAAATGGGGGATATTTCATTTTCCAAGTGCAGTAATTCTGTGCTTCTCCCACCAATTGACTCTAAACAGGGAAACGTAACCCACACAGGACTTTGATATTCTCTGCCTAAATCACCTCCCTCAGACAGCCAGTATTTTTATCCTAATGTATAGAAAGAAGTAACCAAAGCACTAAAACAGAGGAAAGTGTTTTGCCTTCCAGTTAAGGCTTTGACATCCAAGGAAGACAGACCACAAGTACTGTGCCTTAGACTAATAGCATGGTCTAAAGAAGATTAAATACTATGGTCTAAAGAAAGACAATTTTAAAAAGTTGAAAGTGACAGTTCTATGTATACGCCACCTGTACTTCAGGGGAGGAAAAAGAAAAGAAATAAGGGTGGAAAAAAGCATCAAACAGAACTCTCGTATTTTGTTTGCTTTACTGGTATTGTTAAGTTTCACTTCTTTCACGGAAGTACTAACTACAGCTTTTTAAAAGTTTTTAAAAAATTACTTACTGTGACATTACCACAGGATCTTCAACAGATGTCACTGACAGACTATGATCTGGCACACTGTTGTCAGCACACTGAGTAACGGAGGATGGAGTTAGAGTGAGTGTTTCTTCCTCCTCGGTGCTGACTACAGCGTCATTATTAGTGTCCGGATATGCCATTGGGAAGGGACAGCTGCTCTGGTTTGCATTTTGGAATGGATGATTTCTCCAGAGGTCCAAATGCACAGCTCTGCTGCTGGCAGGGTATTTTGGAGAATCATCTAACGGAGATGAATTACTTGTCTGTGAACAAGAGTCTGTGTCACAATGACTTGAAAATCCGGGCTCTGCCATAGAGTCTGGAGAGAAAGGAGCAGGCTCTTGAGGAATATTGAAAAAACAGTGTCCTGGGTTCTGCTGACTTGGCTTCATATGCAGGGTTGGGTCCAACGTCAAGATCTGGGAAACAAGTTTTAACACTAAAAAAAATTGTGATTTAACTTCAGTTTTACCTGAAGACATTAGTTATCCATACAATATATTGCAGGAATTATACTGAATATTACTATGGTAGTGACAAGCAAGATGAAGGGACCTGTAACAGCTTAGATGATGATACATATTCCCAACGTTTGCAACTTGAGACTAAGTCTCCATAAAGAAGAAAAGACATATCTGACATCTGCAGCTGTCTAGAAAACCTTTGACATTTCAGCTATGTAAACAGGAGCACTATGATGTCTCCTTGTAGGTTGAAAAAATCGCTTTGTACAGTTACAAAAACCACTTCATGGATTATATCAACAAGATAGTCACATAGTGGCAATCATTACTGGATTTTTCACAAGACTGAAAGCTGTATAAAGAAGCACATATGATACAGAGTATTTCCACAACCTGTGCCTCTTCCACTTCACAGGTAGAATGAACTTCTCTCATGGGAAGCAGTAAGTAAGCCCCGTTTCTGTGGCTGCAGGTCCACGTGCAGTGCATCGGCTGCAGCCTCTGCCCGGGCAGATCGGGCCCTGCGCCATCCTCGAGGTCATGCTGCAAAGGTGCTCCTTTACCCAGGGCATTCCCAGAGCTCCTCTCAGCTGGGTCCCTTCCCAGACTGGCTCAGCACACGGCTGCACCAATTGCTGTTCCAGCACAACGCTGGAGGTGGCAGCAGGGACCAATTAATGCAAAACCAGTCTGCAACCTATCATATCTTCAAACTGAGATGCAGAGTAGAGAAATTAATGTTACCTCTGGTGGGTGACTTGACTGGGAAGAAGGCATAAAATTCTGGTCTGGCAGCTGCTTGTTCTCCCTTTGTCGTTTATGATAAATATCCTTCAAGGATGATAGCTTGGTTTCATCAGCAGAAGACACCTTCAACAGGAAAAACTGCTCCGTTAGTTGATCTGAACACAATCCTCCATCCTCAATAAAAGTAAACAAGTTGCAGGGTGGGTTTAGCTAATAAATCTGTTCAGAACAAAAGGGTTTTTTCATTGCACTTAATTTTAAAAAGGGTCTTTAATGAGGCACATACACCTTTAATGTACTAGTTAGTCTCTTTTCATCTCCTATACACACATTTTCTTTTAAATTATAAAGTAGGTCAATACATTTCAAGTGACTTTAGTGGGGAATATGAACAATGAAGGAATGGAAAATGAGACACTGAGCTAGCAGAAGTGTTTTCACAGAAAAGTTAGCTTCTGGAGGGCTGATCCTTTCCATCGTAGGAAAAAGGAAAGATGATGAGCAACTGTAAGACAGCTTTAAAACACATACAAAGTTTACCTGATCTGGTGATACTTTTGTGGAGAAAATATCAGCAAACTCACTTCTGAAATTCTCTGGTAAAGAATGATACATCTGCTTCTCGTCTAATTTCCAGTACGAAAGCCCTGATAAGAAGAAACAGTGAAATAAAAAAAGTTACAAATTTCAAGCTCGTGGCTATAGAACAGGAATCCCAAAATCCATTAGTAAGATGTTACTTTGTCAGCTAACAAGAATGCTGTAGTCATTATTTGCATCTATTCCTTAAGAGTCTCACTAAAGCACTTGTTATCAGAAGTTACAAAAATCTCCATGCAAAGCACAGGCATCATAATCAGTGTTACATCACCCAGCATCAGTAACAAAAGCTGTACATCAGTGAAAACATAGATTTACTCTGGCATTCAAGGGACAAATCCTCATTTATCACAAACTTTTATTTCTACTGATTCCAGTGCAGCACTTAAAAACTTTTATCACCCAAGGAACAATCCTAGACAGCCACTTGTCACTACAAACTCCTCAGTCTGGCACTCGACAGCACTCTATGCATGCAGAAACACAGACCACCAGGTCTAAGGGAGACAGATACAGTGGCAATCCCAGTTCAACTCCTTGTGTGTCCCCCTTTTTCAATGGCTTGTGAGGAAGCAATAAAAGTGCACAGTTTGCATGGCTGCATCGCTGTGCCTGTTACCGAAATAAATCCACCCTGTTACTATCAAAATATGTGAATTAGTTGTTTGGCTTTCACCAAAAACAAACAAACAAAAGCACCACCACCACAAGCCCCCAAACCACCACCAACCACCCCTCACACACACCTTACAACAACAAAAGCAAAACCTTACCAAAACACAAAAAAGCAGAAAGCACATCCCCGGTTAAAGAATCCCCACATCGCACACTGCATCATTTTGCCCTTGTCTATTCACACCACTACTGAATCGTGCCCTTGGCTTGCAGGAATTCTGCCTCTGTTACCATGCTCTCCTGTGATTATGAGACCAATGACGCTAATATCTGAAAGATCATTTCATGCCCCACCATGATTTCAATAGTAATTACATTATGAAACAGTTTTAAACATTAAGCTCAGCTTTGAAAAGTTGAGAGATTTGAAGAAAAAAAAGCAAAACTGCTGCATGTCCTACATCTGCCAGCAGTGATACACAGGAGCTACCACCAGTCTGAAACGCAAGAGCAAGTAAAGCAGAATTACACTGTATCAACCTTTAATAGCTTGTTGGTGCCCAAACCTCCTTTACCTCCCTAAAGTTACTGGAGATGCGTTCCAGTGACTTTTTAAAAATGAGAATTCAAAAAAAAGAAAAAATTAACCATACCTGAAGCTTCAGACACTAAAGAATTTGGACTTTCATTTGCTTGATTGAGGTAAAAAGTGTAGGGTGGCAAAGCAGCATCAGTAAGGTTTGTCTAAAATTACAGAAGAAAAACTAATTTATAAGGAAAATCACAAGGCAAGGAAAAGAAAATAAAGGGTACAATTTTAAAAATTGCACGTAACCATTATTAGACATTTTAGGCAAAGAGATGAAATGTAATTATATAGCATGATCCAAACCTATACAATTTATATTCAGGGTAATCACAGCCAAAAGGGGAACTAAGCTAAGCCACATAATGGAAAGATACTGATATTTTCCAAGTGACGTGTCTGTCCACTTGTGGACCGTTTTTGAGATTAACTGTTACAAAAATACACATTGTGGACAGTCATCTAAACTTTCTTGCTCCTTAAGAGGTACAAGTATACAGAGGGATAACTTAGCAACAAAGTGTTACTCTTTCTTCACCCTAAGATTGGAATTTCTTTTATTCAGCTGTTGTGACTCCACCTACCACAGACCTGGAGGTAAACACTGTCTATCTTAGCTAGACAAGACCCTACATTCATACATACATACACACATACCCTTCTCATCACTTCAAATTTTGTGAGCAACCTCCCCAGCTAATTATTACAGAAACAACTGTGAAAAGTGTGGGAACCAACACATGGAAAAAAAATAATGAGAGAATTTAAGATTTGCTACGACTCTCCACTTGTTTAGTCAAAGGAAGAAATGTCACTGATACAAGAGCAGCTGAGTAGGAGCAGCCAGCTTTAAAATGGGCATCTCGGGTTGCTCCTTTCTACCATGCTCGGGGCTGTTCACTCCATTACCGCAGCTGGCAGTCATGTCACTTGGCAAATTGACACAGCTCATACAACTGAGGACTAGGAGAGGATAGTAACCATTGAGTTAACATCAAAAGATTCAGAACTAAAGCTCGCCAAGTTTTTGTATGAAGTACCATCTCATCTCAAGGCTATTTTGTCCCTCTTAATGTTTTTATTTAGGCATTCTCCTTTGCCTAAGGAGGAAGAAAGGAAAATGAAGGGGTATCAACTGAATTCTTACAAAGGAACAGAAAGATGAAGGTATTTCAAAAGCTGAGAGAGAAAGGTGACAACCCACAGCAGATGAATTGAGTTCTAGTTCTAGTTCTAATATCCCCATAGAGCACCACCTTGTTTCCACTGCAAACAGAATGCCAGAGGCAGCGAGTCCAAGCAGCTGCTCTGCCCCTCTCTGGATCACCCACAAAGTGACCACAGGAAAGAAAACAGCCCCTGCCTTGAACCAAGCATTCATTTTCGCTATATTTGCTCTCCTATTCCCTTGTAGGTGGAGTCAATCACAGTTTCAGGAATTGTTTCCTGAAAAGTAGCACAGGGAGAGAGGTTTGTGACCAAGTAATTCTAAAACTTCAAAGTTACATGTGTGATGAGTACTCATACAAGCACACTGCATAATGTCCTTTTGGATCAGACATGTGTGATTAAACTTCCTTCTCCAAAATAATCAGACTTGTGGCCATATGCAATTATTAACTCCAGAATATCGAGGGACAAACCAAACTCTTCCCAAATGAAGTATTTTGGGCCAATTCAGCAGTCCCGGCAAGAGGCATTACTACAAGTGGTTCTAAAGAGCCAAGCCAATTTCCTAGATGTCCATTGCGGGGGTTTGTTACTTTTGGTAACTAGTGCTGTAACTGTTTCGAGTAGTCCAGTTCAGCCAAACCAGAGTCATACGCAAGCATAACAGAATGCATTATTTGTTCATAAACACTACAAAAAAATGAAGAAAAAAAACCAACCCTAAACATATTTGTATTTTAGCATAGCAGACTGCTAAGAGCACTAAAAAAGCCCAAACCGAACGATGTCAAAACATCCCTGCAACTTAAAAATCTCAGCCTGGAAGAATGCGATCTGTCCTGAACAAAGTGGCTAATGCCTCCACACACAGAGTTCTGTGTACTGAGAGACATCACCAGCTGCAAGCAAAACCAGTGACAAGAATAAAATTAGAAAAACATCCTAAAATAAAGAGACTTACATTCTCAAGTGGCAATTTCTTTGCTTGCTCATTTTCTTGCATAGAGTTGGCACATACTTCTTCGGCATTTGTTCTTTTTGGTTGGTTTTGTTTCAACTTCTGTGCCCACGATGTTAAAGATTTACTGGATGGTAAGAAACACACACATACACGTAAGTACGCAGGCTCTTCTCAGTGGAGACATGAAATCAATTTCATTTGCAAGGTGAAACACAGGAACCAGAACTCTGCTGCCTTTGCGCACTTTTCAAGAAACTCCATGAAGAAATGAACGCTGAAATGGTATAGGGCTCTTTTTGTTTAAAGAAGTAGAACAACAACAACAACAAGACCACCAACAAACAAATCATAGAAAGGAAATCGTAAAAAGGAAATTACCCCAGGTTCCAGTATAAATTGGGGAA